TTCTACCCTAAGCTATCTTCTCACTTCACATTCTATCTCAAGGTGATTCCACCCACTTCCACCATCAATTACCATTTACCATCATTTTGCTGATGATTCGAAATCCCTGGGTGACATAAATGACTAAGTGCTTGATTACTAACCAAAAATTTGGTTAAACCTACCCAGAGGCATGCTGGAAGACAAGTCTGGCAATCTGCTTCTGAAAGGACTCGAAAACCCTATGGAACAGTTTGAGTCTGCACACATTGCATCACCATGAGTCAGAATCCACTCCATGGCAAATAACAATCACAACAACAACATGCTGATGACTCACATCTTTGTTCTCCCAGAGAATAAGAAGGAAAAGGCAGAATGGATTAACTGCAACTGCATGTTACAAAGTCCTAGAGGAACTTAGAAAAGATAATGGAGAAAGTTGCACTTGAATTAGTCTTGAAACACAAATGGAGCTTTGAAATACAGAAATGATCCAAGAAGAGTAAACTACATAAGTAAAGATGTGGAGTATGTTCAAAGAGCAGCAAACTCAGAAGTTTAACTGGAATATTGTGAGGGATGATACAGGGTGATGTGGAAAGGTAAGCACAGCACTGTTAATAGAAGGCTTTGGACTTTATCAAGCAGACACTGGGGGGTCCTGGAAGAGTTAGGATGAAATTAGGAAACAAACAAGTAAAAAGAGGATGATCCATTAAGAGGACATTGCAGTAGCTGAGAAGAGGAACTATGATAACCTAAAGGGTGATGGCGCTCAAGGGATGGAAGGGAGAGGAAAACTCAAGAGACACTGAAGAGAGGGAAACAGACATGGGGTCTAATTCATGTGGTAGATGAGAAAAGGAAGGGTGTCAAACATCACTCAGAAATGGTGAGCTTACATGAGTAAAATAAATAGGGATTCCATAGCCAGAAACATAGAATTCAGAAAATGAGTTGGTTTGATGAGAGGAAGGATGAAAAATTTTCTCTTGATTAAATAATCCTGTGGCACACAGCCTTTCAATCTCTTACTGGAAGCCTCTGTCTGCTCACCTGACTACTGGGACTGATTAAACTCCTGCAGAGCAGCCCATCCTGTATGTCAACTCTCCTGATGCTGTGTTGTTTAGGAGATGGTCTGGCGCCCACTGATTCTATAAACCAGGAACCCTGGGCAGCTTTATATCTTTTCACCCTTTGTCACTCTTCCTGAGCCCAGAATGAAAACACCATGAGGGAAAGGGCCAGCCAAGGTATGCTGCCAAATACCCAGTATCTCATTTAGTGCCTGGTATGCAGTAGGTACTCAATAAATAGTCCTCATGTGAAAGCTAGCTCAAATCTTTAGAACAGTTTTTAATCAGGTATGTGGCTCAAAACTGACATTAGAGAGTCTGACTTAGTATGAATAAGACATCTGGATAGGGCCCAGACATCTGCACTTTGTAACTCCACAGGTAATTCTAATATTCACTCTAGTTAGGATTTCCAGATTTAGCTAACAAACATACAGGATGCCCAGATACATTTGAATTTCAGCTAAACAATGAATACTTTCTAGCATAAGTATATCTCATGAAATATTTGCGTTTTATCTGGCAATACTACCTCCAGTTGAAAATGACTGTTTTAGAGCATTCAGAAAAGATGGTTACAGGATTTTGCTTTATTTCCTTAGGAGAAAGGATGATGTTAGACAGCTGTGGGGTGTGGGAGGAAGAGGCCCGATGAGCTTCATCGTGGGCAAGGGAAGGTGCTATGTTAAAAATAACCCATGCTTAGTAGGAGTCAAAGGGGACTCAGTAGCGCTTGAAGACATTGTCCTTCACTCTTTACAGGAACTAAAAGTTTAACAAAGTGCTTGGAGGAATCTGGGAGAAATTGAGAAGAGAAGTTTTCATGTCCTTGTTTAAAGCTTTGTGGGCCTGTAGTTAAGGCAGAGGAACTCTGGTAGCATAGTGTCTAAGGCACTTGACTTCTAACCAGAAGGCTGGCGGTGCAAACCCACCAGCCACTCCTCAGAAGGAAGGTTAGGCAGTCTACTACTGTAGTGATACTGCCTCAGAAACCCAAGGAGAGGTTGCTATGAGTTGGGTTTGACTTGATGGTAAATAACAACAACAACAACAAGAGTTAAGGCAGGGGTTAATTATGTGTCAAGACTGACAAAACAAAACTACAAAAAGCCAACTGAAATAATCAAATAGAAAACCTGAAAGCTTAGAACTGCCCACCTGGAGAGATGTGTTTGTGGATGGTGATCATTATGATGATATGAGTAAGAGGGTGTGGTGCAGTGAATTACTTGGTATGGCTCTCCTAGCCATGGTCTTTTTGACTCCACCAGATGATTGGGTGGAACTATGCAAATGTGAGGTGCTTATGGCCCAGTAAGTGGAATGGATTGCTTAGTAATAAAGTAAATAAAATACATGGCACACTTTTAGGGGTGAGACCATGGAAATAAGGTGTATGAAACCCTAACATGGGGATCGGTCAGTTTTCCCACCTTGCTAGGCTTCAAATGAGCCATCCCGGAGGTGGAAAGGGGGGATCTCACTGCCATCACACAAAAAAAGCCAAAAGTAGAATGTGTGCTTTGGACCTGAGATCCCTGCACTGAGATGACAATGAGAGATGGCAGAGAAATGGCAGCAGCAGGGGCAACAGAACCAAGAGACAGGCATCAGACAGAACAGTGGGCTTGCTACCCACAGAGTGAGAAAACTGAGTGGCTTTGGGCAGGAGGCTTGCTGGTGGAGCGGGGTGCACCTACTGCCAGAGCTAAGAGAGCTTTGTAACACTTGCCGGAGCAGGGAAGAAAGGTGTGCCTATAGGCATGGCCAAAGGTAGGCTGTCCTGATCCAAGAATTGTATCCTAAATGTTCCTGCAACTGAATTGTAACCTATTATTTCCCTAATAAACCGCATAATCCCGAGCATTTTTGTGAGTCTCTGTGGCCATTGCAATGAATTCTCAGCAGAGAAGCAGAGTGCTGTGGGAGAGAGAGTTGGTATCAGAATCGGTAAAGAGGGTTAGAGGGTGGTGGCACATCTGGCCTCCACCTCACAGGAATCAGACTTGAGCTGATGGTGAAGGTAGAGGAGGTCAGATGTCACCCTCCCACTCTATTTGCAGATGGATAAATGGGAAGGTATACATGGGCCAGTTTAGCCAGTCACAGATTCCAAATATGAAGATGCAAAGTTAGAGATGCAAAGGTGAGAGAAGGTGGGCATGTAAGGATTGCCTCTGCTTGTCCCACACAGGATGGGGTGGGGGTGGGACAGGGTGGGGTGTAGAAGCTCCTGTTGCCACTGCCACCTGGGATTTGGAGGCCCCTTTTGTGTTTAAGGGAATGCATCCAAGCCTGGTTTAAATTTTGTCTTGAATCAGAGTAGAACAATGTTTAAGTTGAAAAACATCACAACTTAGTGTATTCCAAACTTTTTAAACTGCCCCCCAAAAAAACTTTAGTTAAAAATATTAAATTGCATACAGAACTTAGATAAACAGAAAAGATAAATACGACAATGCTGAGTTAAAAGTGGAGGAGAGGACAGTACCCTTTGTTTTCTTCTCACTCTCCAGTTCTCCTTTCTACCAACACACACTGAAGCCCACCCCACACCCACTTTCAAATTTAGAACTGGGTTCTAGAATGTTAAATGTTCTCCTCAAAGAGGTCCAGTTGGTCTGAGAAGAGGGCTGGAGAGAACAGTGAAGGTGCTCTACCCATTACATCTTCAGGAGACCACCAGGTCTGGGAAGGAGAGCTAACCCACAAGCAGACAATACCTCTCTCTGTGATCTGAACAGTAGGGCCATATGAGGATTAAGGCTTTCAATGTTATCATACCTCTCTCCTCACATGAAGAAAGAAACATTTTACCAAGCAAATCTGATAGGACTTTAAGGAAAATTCCAGATCTTAGGAATTTTTGCACAATGAATATATGACTAAAAAAGTTGAATGTTAACTGAACTGGTTAAAACAAAATTATATTTAATGGGGTCGTATAGTAAAGTATTTTATTAACATTCATTAATATGTGTTTTAGGAATTCTGATTTCCATGTGCCAGGTTTTCCCAGTGTTGGGTGCACCGGCTCCTTTACCTGTTCCAGAAGACGGAGGAGTGACAGAGCCTGGACTGTCGTCTTCAGGCTCTGAGACGGTGACAGTGGGGACTGTGTCAGGACTTGGTTTCAGACAGCTGTCTTGCTTCTCAGGGGTCTTCTCTTGGGAAGCACTCTCGGCAGGAGGTTCAATCTCAGTCAGCGTGATTGTGACGGGGGCTGTGATCACAGGAGCACTGTGCTGCTCTTCAGGGAGATCATCTATATAAGGTGCAAATGTTGACTCTTCAAATAAATGGTCCTTGATGATCTTTCCCTCCACGGGAGCTGGTGTCTCGGGTTCAATGACCCCTTCAGACTTTGTTGAGATTCCAGTGTCCTTACTCTTAAAGTCTATGTCTTTATTCTCCAACTTGGGTTGACATTGCTCCTCGTGCTTCATCTCTTCTGATCTGGTTATGTCAATGTATTTATAGGCTTCTGCTTTCATTTGGTCCAGAGGATCTGCTAAGATCTTGTTGACTTCCACAGATTCTGCAGGAGTCATCTCTATTCCAGAATCAGAACTAAATAAGCCATGAGGCTCTGTGCCAGGCTCATCTGGCAAAGGGCGTCCAGGAGTAGTCAGTTCTTCAGGACTCTCTGAACTGGTGACATGGGCATTTTCCTTCTGAAGAATTCCAGTGAAATATGTAGAATCCACCTGAGGTGGGTAACAGACATCAGAAATAAGAGTCGTGTAACAGGCTCCTTCCTCATCTTTTGGTGTTGTTGAAAAGGTATGATCCATGGCACTGGGGACATCTGCCACACCTATGAATCAAAACAACAGCACACAGTAAGTGGGGGCCGGCTTCAGTTCTCTGTCCTGTCTAATACACTGCCCATCCCCAATGGAGACCTGACACCTTTCCCCACTGAGAGACTCAGAACTCTCTTAGGGCACTGGGTGCTAATTTACCTTGTCTCTCTGATACTTCACAGCACACAGAATTTCCCTGGCAGCAAACCACAGAGGCCACACAAGCTACCATGCCCAGATAAACTGGGGAGAGATTCCAGAGGATGAAAAAATTGATTTTCAACATCTACTACCTAAATGCACAGTGACTTGACCTTACTCAGTATTATTAAAGAGAAAACCTCTTTGTATCAAAAGTATGAATGGTTCTTTAAGTCGTAGCTGAAATGTAGGCTGATTCAGGTTTGTAATTACAACAGTAGGATAGAGACTGAGGGTGGGAGGAAACCTGCTTTTGAACACTCACAAAGTTGAAAAGAGGCCTCAAGAGATCCTCTGGTCTAGCCCTTGAGATCATGGTCTCCTGCCCCTTTCTGCATTGACACCATCCATTCTTTATTCAAAGTGATTCCTAGTTTTCTGACAGCCCCATCCCAAAGTAGTATTACCTTAATGGCACACTTGCTTATTTAGTTTTTCCTAATTTGTTTCCCTTCCTCTTTCTCTCCTCTCCTGTCCATTCTTTGTTTTCCAGTGGTATTTAAAATGACCCATCGGAGACTTCTTAGTTCCACTGGCGATGCTAAGGGCAAAATAAGTTTCCGAGTCTGAGTCGATTGAATGTTGGCACCTAGCCTTCATCTACTAACAAACCAGCCAAAAAATTCATTCATAGTGAGCAGAAAAGGAAAACCCTCTATTGCTTGTCTTTGCTGTAAAATCCTGTCAAAGGAGAAGAAAGCTAACATTTATTGAGGTCTTACTATGTGTTAACGACCTTTGGTGGCGTAGTGCCTAAGGCATTTGACTGCAAACCAGAAGGCTGGCGGTTCAAATCCACCAGCCACTCCTCGGAAGGAAGATTGGGCAATTTAAAATCCGTAGTGATACCGCCTCAGAAACCTAAGGAGGGGTTGCTGTGAGTCGGACCCGACTCAACCACAGTGAGTTTGGTTTGGTTTTGTTTTGGTTTACTATGTGTCAAGCAGTGTGATTTCACCTAATTCTTACAACAATTTTATGAGCTAAGGAAGTTCCACGCTCACAACACATACACACAAACATATCATACACATACACACACAAATGTTGTTGTTGTTGTTGTTATGTGCCGTCGAGTCGGCCCCGACTCATAGCGACCCCTCCTTGGTTTCCAAGGCAGTATCGCTACAGAAGTAGATTGCCCAACCTTCCTTCCGAGGAGTGGCTGGTGGGTTTGAACCGCCAGCCTTCTGGTTAGCAGTCAAGTGCCTTAGGCACTATGCTATCAGAGCTCCTACACACACACACATAGCATATACAATAACCCTTAAGACATGCCAAAAATATCCAAGGTTAGGGTACCAACTGACATAAAAGTAATAAAAAAAAAAAGAGTAGCTTCAAGTGTTGGGTGCCATGGAGTAGATTGCAACTCACAGTGACTTCACGTGACAGAGTAGAACTGCTCCTACAGGGCTTTCCTAGCTGTAATCTTTACAGAAACAGCTTGCTAGGTCTTCTTTAGAACCACTGGATGAGTTTGAATTGCACAGTAATGTAATGATATTAATAGCTAACGTTTCAGTGCTTTCTATGTGTTAGACATAGTTTCATGCTTTTTATTAGTATTATTAATATTTATTCATTTGATCATCAAAGCAATCTTAGAAGGTTGGTACTATTATTAGCCTCATTTCACAGATGAGGAAACTGAGGAAAAGAAGGGCTAAGATTTCACAGACAGGACTGGCAAAGCTAGGATTCAAGCTCAAGCAGTCTAGAAGCCAGAAACCTCCCCTCAAGCCCTTTGCATTTTCTTAAATCAGTCTGTAAAATTTTTTTAAAAGTACTTTTGAATCAGTATTTTTATAAATAAACTTAACTTTTGCCTATTTTTAGCTTTCTTCTTGGTTGTTTGCCTATAGGGATGGAAAAGCACAAAGCCTCTTTGCTTATTCACCACTCTCCTGCCTTGGTGCTTATGCACTGGCTGTTCCCTTTGCTCGGAACACTTGTGGTAGTTAAGGTTGTGTGTCATCTTGGCTGGGCCTGGTTGAGTGGCTGGGCAGCTGGATGTAGTTATTCCCCACAGTGAGACTGGTAATCAACTCCATGGTGGAATCTACTGGAACAGCTGACTAGCTGCTTGAGGGATGTAGTCTGCTTCCAGTATATAAGAAGAAGCTTTGAGGAAGGTCTCTGGAGCTTTTGGAATGCTTGGGCCCTGCCGAATATTCATTTAGCAGCCTGCCATGTTGTCTGCTAATCAACAGCCTGCCATGTGGTTTGGTAATATCGGGACTATGCCTTTTTACTCGTCAACCTTGGGTTTGTCAGCCTCAGCAGCCAGGAGCTGCCTGAGTGAAGAAAGCCTCCAGCTCCAGTGGGCCAGAGAAAGAGGCAGAGCAGAAGCAGCCCAAGGTCAAGGAGTTTTCACCCATCCCCTAGAGCATGGCATTTTGGACTTGGACTTCTAGCCTCCAAAACTGTAAGAAAATAAACTCCTGTTTGTTAAAGCCATCCACTTGTAGTATCTTCTGTTAGAGCGGCACTAGGTAACCAAAATAACACTCTTCTCCCAGATATCTGCATACCTAACTCCCTTATCCCTAATTCTTTGCTCAAATGTCACCTTTTCAATGAGGATGACCCTGATCACTAAAATTGCAACCTGCTCTCCCTTCCCTGTTCCTTGGCACTCCTGCTTTTCTCTACCTTTTTTTCCCCCTGTATCACTTAACCTCCTTCTATCATCCTATATAATTTACTTATTTATTGTTTGTCTCCCCTTGCTAAACAAGTTCTATGAGCCCAAGACTCTTAGACTATTTTATTTACTGATGTTACCCAGCACCTCATATATAGTAAGTATGTTACAGGACCTCATACATAGTAAGTACTCAATAACAATTTGGGAAATAAAGTAATTATGAAGTTCAGAATTAAGCATAGTATCAGGTTTATGTGAGAAAACAGGCTGGAAGTTCTTTCTAAACTGCTAATGATACCTGCCTCCTCCATCAAGTGACCTAATTTTGCAAGCAACAGACTAGTTCAACTCTATACAGTTTATAATAATTACAGTGAGACTTCTAATTGTACTTCCTTTCCATAGATCTGTCCCTCTTTTCTGGTTAGACCAAAATATCTTGATGGCAAAGGAATAATGATGATGATGCACCATGCAGCCTAAGTGTGCATAGACTACTAAAGGAAAGGCTATTAGATTTAAATTCATGTATGAACATACATCATTTATCCTAAAGAGATTTTAAGGTACTTTCATTGCATGGGCTTCCTACACGTAGGCCTCACTGGAGGCAGGGAGATCAATCCTGAGATATTTCACTACAGACATTTGGACGGTTGGACTTTCTGCCACAATTATTAGCAACCTCCAGGTATTAGTAAGTCATTATGCAATAGAAAGTAGGCAGAATTTTGCCCATGGCTATAAATAGTTAGAGGAGCTCTGATAGCAGTGTGGTTAAAGCATTGGGCTGCTAACCAAAATGTTGGTGGTTGGAACCCACCAGCCACTCTGTGGGAGAAAGATGTTTCCATAAAGACTTACAGTCTTGGAAACACTATAGGGTCTCTATGAGTCATAATCAATTCAAAGGCAGTGGGGATTTTTGTTTTGTTTTGTTTTTTGTTTTAATAAATAAGTTTGGACTTTGGGGAATGGAGAAGGAGATGCTCTCCTGCAGAATACGCAATACACAGTAGGTAGTTTCTAGGGCTGTGTCACAGTCATTATCATTTATCACTCAGTGCTTTCTTTTCAGGGGCCACCAGAGAACTTCTAGCCCTTATCACCAATACCTGGCATGATGTATAGTTCTCCAGCCCACTGTCTCCTGCCACCAGAGTTACCACAGTAAACATAAGTGCCACCTGCTTGGCAACCACCAAGGGCTCTACCTCACCTCTCTGGATAATCCTTAAGCTCTGCAGCCCGGCATTTGAGATCACATGGACTTCCTCTGGCATCGCAGCCTTGTCTCACTGCTTGTCTTACTTTCCTAGTACTGCTATAACACAAATACTGCAAGTGGGTGGTTTGAAAGAACAGAAATTATGTTCTTACAGTTCTGGAAACTAAAAGTCCAAATCAGGGACTTGACCATGTGGATTCCTTCTTTGTTGGTAGCCTCCAGCATTCCATGGTTCTTGGTGATCCTCATATGGTATCTATCTTCCCTAGTACACACGAGTTTGTATCTTTGTCTAATCTGCTCCCTTTATAACTCAGAAGTGATTGGGTTTAGGACTCATCCTATACTGTTAAGGTCTCATTGGCAAAGCAAAAAAGCCCCTACTGTCCAACAGGTTACATCCACAAGTATAGCAGATAGAATTCCAACACATATTTTATGGAGTCACAATTTAATCCATAACACTGCTCCTCTCACTTACCACTCCAGGCATACAAAGCTCTTCACAATCTTGCACTTGTTCAACCAGCTTTTCTAACCCTGTCATCTACTCTCCAACTCAAATTCTGGTTAATATAAACTACCTATCAGTTCTCCAACACTGTACTTCCAAATTCCACACTCAAATCTCTGCCTTTTAACCTTAAATCACTAATGGTAAAGTTTCTTTAAGTGCCATATTTAAGTGTCATCTTTCAGTGACAAACTGAACAGGAATGGTGTCACATTCATTGTCAAAAAGAACATTTCAAGATCTGCCCTAAGTACAATGCTGTCAGTGATAGGATAATATCCATGTGCCAAAAAGAAACACCAGTTAATACCACTATTATTTAAATTTATGCACCAACAACTAAGGCCAAAGATGAAGAAACTAAAGTTGTTTCTTTCTTTTTTTTACCAACTTCTACAGTCTGAAATTGATCGAACAT